GTTAATATTTCTTTTGGTGTGATCTTCGAAATCAATCAAGAAAAAGAGTCAACCGCGATTCACTAGTTTATTTTCGGTATGCTAGTTTCAAATTTGATAATATTTTTATGATAGGAATTAGTGTTTTTTTATAAATAAAAGTTTGCCAAAATATTATCACCTGCAGGCAGCAGACAGCCTAGCGAATGTACAAACATCAGGCCATCAGGCTGTGCCTGTTTTTTATTTTATTTTGGCCGGCCGGCTGGGCAGTCTGTCACACTTGACCCACCAATGATAAAACAATTGTTAATTCATTTATTATATAAATTGAAAGCTACACGCTAAAGTAAAATCGACCCTGCATGTCTCTCCAACCTGACTGAGAGAGATACAACGTCCCAGCAGAAAGACGGAGATACTCGTAAATATAGATTCACCTCACACGGGAATCGATGAGGTCTTCTGAGTGCGACGACAATACGCTAAACCGCTACACCACAGATGTCGGTACTGTAAGGGTTCGGCGAGCGCGGAGACATGGAAACAATTACATGATCGTACAATTTATTTTATTCTGTCCCCGTAGTTTTATGCACCCAGCAAAATGTAGCAAAATTTGTTCATCTTTGAAAAAAATTTCTGATTATTTTCCTTTATCATTTTTTGTTACAATTAACAGAATCGCATAATTTCACATTTTGGGCCCAGTTTGCATAAATTCAAATTGTTCTTGCATAAAACGACGGGGACAGGTTATTAAAGGGTGAGAGACACACACTGCCTAGCGAAGGGCGCTATCTTCTCTAAACTGACTTTTCTTTCCACTTCGCTTGGCGCTTGGGGGCAACATAAAATCTTAATTAATTGTTGTCTGATTCATGATGTTTTACGTCGCCATCGACACTATAAGTTAGATCATTTAGAAGGCGGGCTGCTTCGACGCTGCCTGTCAGGGGCAACATGCAGTGGCGTCTGGTGAGGTGGGGCTGGCAGCTTCAGCCCCATCTCGACTTCTAAATACGAAAAAATTACTTCTGTTGACTAAAATCAAAACCAAACATTAAACAACATTTTTCAAGAGGAACAAAATAATATATTCCTTAAAAAGTGTCACATCACGAAGACCCAAGCGGAACTCGAAAAGCAATCTGGTTGGCCTGGGTGTCTTCTACTATTTACTACGAATCAGGCGCTCCTTCTGTCGAGGAGAAAGAAATTTAATTGGTTTGGTCCTAAGCCCTAAGCCACGGTGGTTATGTTCCCACAGACCGGGGTTTTTTTTCTTGTTTTTTTGGTAGGCATTTTACGGCGCTCGCAACTTCATAAGGTCATATGAGCACGCGGGACACACCAAACATTTTCAATAGGTAGGAATTTTTGAATTTGCTCAGGTGGCGGCCGAAGCCTGCTCTAATCGATTAGGGACCACCAATGGATCTTTAACCTGGGCAACGTGCACAAGGGACCTGCGATATTTTTTGCCCTTGTCCGAGAAGGCTTGCAGGTGTAGATCTTTCCTATCAGAAAACCAGGGGTGGTGTGGCTGAGAGAAAGAAGTAAGAAGTAGCCATGGCGTAACAGTTAAAAGGCTGCAGAAAGAGTCAGGAGTCCTGTGGAGGGGGCAAAGAAGGTGAGGGGGTGGGGAAGAAAGTGGAGACGAAAGAAGACGACAAAATATTGCAATAGAGAAGGAAAGAACGTGAAAGGAGATCATTTTTAGAGAAGAAAATCTTTCCGGTGTTACCCGGATTCGAACCCCGGACCTTTGAATGAGAGGCAAACACCTTAACCTCTAGGCCACGAGAGCCCCCTACAGACTGAAATACATACGCATAATACCTTTACACCGCCATCCGCCCACTGGCTGAGCTGAACAGTTCTTATTTTTTTTATTTATATATATATATATATATATATATATATATATATATATATTATATATAAATTTGCGCCGCTATGCCGCCAGCAAACTGGCCGCCACAGATACGATGTAACAATGTGCACACCACACATGGCGCACGGCAGCCACTCGTTGGCTGCTTTATAAACCCTCTCTCACGCCACCTCGGCCCACTGTCAAAATATCTGGCTTCGTCAGATATCAGACCCATGACCTCATGGCTTGCAGGTGCCCGCAAGGCTTTTATTTTGTGAGCATTTACACTCAAATCTACGTGAAAGGTCTGGGGCGGTCCGAGGATTGACAGGCATCGGGTAAGAAAATCTGTCCCCG